ATAACTGTTATAAGTGTTCGCTCTAATTAAATATTAATTTTAAATCGATGTAGAAAGAATATTATTTAAATACAAGTAAGTAATGTTAAACATTAAGTTTTAAAGCTCTTATTTACCTTCATTATTGACTAAAAATATCTATTTTTTAAGGTAAGCATGTAAAGATCGAATATTTATTCTTAAAAACTAATTAACTCATACATTAGATTTATTCACATAAACAAGCTTAACGAATCTCGTGATGTATTAAATCTTACCTAATTTGGGGGTTATATTATTATCGTTATTAAATTTACAAGAAGCAATCATTCAAAATTATTATCGATTTTTGCATAGATATCTTATGATATTTATAATTTGTTTATTAAGTAAAAATTCCTTAAGGCTTTCAGATTTTTTTAAAATTTATTATAAATTATACATAAATATATATATATATATATTCCTATATAAAATCTTGTAAGATGTCTGCTGTAACTCAAAAATATTTGGATATTTTAAGTTTGATAAAGCACTGAATAATCAGCATTTTTTTAGGTTTTTTAGAAAAATGGATATTTTTAATAATGTAATTCATTCAAGCATTATTTACTTTATCTTATTTTAAATATAAGATAAAGTAAATAATGCTTGAATGGAGTAGATATACTTTGGTTGTTTCCATACAAGTACAAGTTCATCATCAGGGAGACATGTTGAATTTTTATAATGATGTATTTATGCCATTAAAGTATTATTTTTTCATTTTAATTTTATGGAGTCAAAATTTATAAATATTTTAAAAGTTTTTTAAAACAAAATACAAGTTTTAAGATTATTATTTTTCAGATATACGAGGCATTCATTATCGACACAAATATGGTATATTGTGTTGAAGACGATACATTGTCACCGTACCAAGAATTCTGGGGTAGTCTACCTAGGATAGAAATGCTACAACCTGATAAGGTTATTTTTTATTATTATTATTTAGTAATTTGAAAAAAAAAGTGAACTTGTTTCATTGTAGTTTTGAAGACACTATAATTTGTTAAATATTACATATAATATATAGTGTCTTCAATTTTTTAAACTCTGTTTTGAGAATCCAAGTAACAATACTGTAGTATATATAAAGTGTGGAATTGGCAATAAAGTATTGAATGTTTTTCTGTATTATTCTGTTATATATTTATATTATTTTAGTCAATAAAATTATAAAAGCAGGAATTTAAAAAATTTTAATACTTTATCTAAGCATATATACATATAGTATGGCATTACTTTTAATACTTTGAATGCATTGTGTTACAAACTGCCCCTATTTAAAACTGTTTACAGTGACATATTGTTTGCAAATTNTATATATATATATATATATATATATATATATATATATTACAATCGAAGAGAGAGACAACGTTAGTTTCCTTTTTTCCAATCTGTCAGCTTCACTGTCTAATTCAGCATCTTCTACAACATCCTTTCCATCCAGTTTCTTCTTCATAAATCCAATATTTTTGTGCACCTGGGTTACATACACACTCAATGCCTGGAGTCAAAAAAATTTTTTTTCTTCAGCATATTGCTAGTTTCTATATCTTCTTCTAGTACTCAATTTCAAAGAGTCTTTTTATTTTCTTTTCTTGCATTTTCTTTTCTAGTTTATTTTTAAAAGGGATTTCGAAAAATCGCAACTTCTTTTTTTTTTGTTTCTCACTTTCTCTTTCTCTCCCTCTCTCCCGGGTTTGGTATAGAAATACCAATAGGTATACTATTTTATTTTATACAAAAATAACTGATTTACCGGTGTAAAAATTTCTGTCATATAAGGAATGATAAATGTGAATGGAGCTGAAAAACGTTAGTTTATAGTGTAGTTCAAAAAAATATATAGATATTTTTGAATAGGAAAAGGTATATTTTTTCCTTTAATCTATTACATTTTCAATAGTTTACGGATCGATTATGCAACTTGTTTAATTACGAATTATAAATCAAGGATTAATGATTAATTTCGGATAATTCCTTTATAAATACATAAATTATTTATAATATTAATGAAGATAAATCTGTGATAAATAATTATTATTCGTATATTTTTATATGTTCATAAAATATTTTTATAACAAAATTAAATTAAATTTTATGTACTTTATTAATTATGTAAACATAATAAAACATTAAGTTAATTATTAAAAGTTTATTTATATGATACAAAGTTATGATAACATTGTATATAATTCTTTCAGAATTTATAAAGCTATAAATAATATTCTTCCAAAACTACATTCCGTTTTATAAATCCCCATACCAACTTGTTACAATTTTTTCTCGAAAAGTTTAGAAAATAATATATAGTTGGGTATATACAGTATATATATATATATATTTTTACCCCTCAGAATATCGATCAACTATAGCTACTGTATCAATATGCTTCAAATTCCATATTTTTTGTCACGATTTCTTTCAACTTTAACTCGTTTCATACTATCTAATAGGATAAAAAAACCCTTCGGGTATCTTCAATAATTTTGTTTATCCATGCGTTATTCGTAGATATTTTTAATATTCTTCTATTGTACGCAAAAATCTCTTATTCGAAAAAAATATATAAAATTTTATAATATTAAACTAAAAAATCTTTATTCTTATTTTCGCAAAACTCATTTTCTTATTTTAGCGTTAAAGAAATTTAAAAATTTGATTCTTTCTGTAAATAAAAAAGTAAAAAAATTGTTTGAACAAAGTTTTGTTTGAGAGCTTTTATTTACTTTTAATTATATTAAAAATGTGTTCAGCTAGTCGTTAGAAAATAACGACGTGTATCATACTTAATCAAATATTCCACAATGCTTTAAACATAAAAGTATATTGGAACTGCAAAGCTGCAATAGCGTGGTAATAAACAGCAGTCAATTCGTACTAATTATTGTATAGAATAAGGTCCCAATAGGATGCAGGAGGAAGATAAACAGTAGATCTAACGCAGTGCATCAAGTAATTTCCTTTTCTGCTATCCAGCATTACAACTTTCATCAAACACAAGCATCTGATGCACACAACAGTCAGATTTAATTAAACCTTTTAATTGACTATCAGGCTTAGTTCAATTTCTGATTTGGGGAAAGTTAACAACAACTCTTTGTACGGTTTCTTCATTGATTTACGAATTCAATCGTAATAAGTCTCGTAAATATTCCTTATAAGGGATTATTGTAGGAAGATGTCATAAGTCATTTGCATCATTATAATCAGTAATTAATAATGTCAACCATCTTTATTAAACCTAGTTATCAATCTTAACAAGAGATCGAAATTCCTAAGGCACTACTCTCTCTTTTCATTGACATTTTTGAATGAAGCAAGTACTATAATGATTGATTTTTAAATTATCCGATTACTATACTTTATTCTTTGGGGAATTATTCTTCTAGATAAGATATTATTGCTCTTTTTTAAATCGAATTTCTTTTAGAAAAGCTGTTACGAATCCTAAAATTAATAGAGCAAGTAATGTCGGTTAGATATGATTCGAGTACCAGGTGGACTAAACACTCAATTGAAGCAGCATTCTTTCACTCCTCTTATATATATATATATATTACAATCGAAGAGAGAGACAACGTTAGTTTCCTTTTTTCCAATCTGTCAGCTTCACTGTCTAATTCAGCATCTTCTACAACATCCTTTCCATCCAGTTTCTTCTTCATAAATCCAATATTTTTGTGCACCTGGGTTACATACACACTCAATGCCTGGAGTCAAAAAAATTTTTTTTCTTCAGCATATTGCTAGTTTCTATATCTTCTTCTAGTACTCAATTTCAAAGAGTCTTTTTATTTTCTTTTCTTGCATTTTCTTTTCTAGTTTATTTTTAAAAGGGATTTCGAAAAATCGCAACTTTTCTTTTTTTTTTGTTTCTCACTTTCTCTTTCTCTCCCTCTCTCCCGGGTTTGGTATAGAAATACCAATAGGTATACTATTTTATTTTATACAAAAATAACTGATTTACCGGTGTAAAAATTTCTGTCATATAAGGAATGATAAATGTGAATGGAGCTGAAAAACGTTAGTTTATAGTGTAGTTCAAAAAAATATATAGATATTTTTGAATAGGAAAAGGTATATTTTTTCCTTTAATCTATTACATTTTCAATAGTTTACGGATCGATTATGCAACTTGTTTAATTACGAATTATAAATCAAGGATTAATGATTAATTTCGGATAATTCCTTTATAAATACATAAATTATTTATAATATTAATGAAGATAAATCTGTGATAAATAATTATTATTCGTATATTTTTATATGTTCATAAAATATTTTTATAACAAAATTAAATTAAATTTTATGTACTTTATTAATTATGTAAACATAATAAAACATTAAGTTAATTATTAAAAGTTTATTTATATGATACAAAGTTATGATAACATTGTATATAATTCTTTCAGAATTTATAAAGCTATAAATAATATTCTTCCAAAACTACATTCCGTTTTATAAATCCCCATACCAACTTGTTACAATTTTTTCTCGAAAAGTTTAGAAAATAATATATAGTTGGGTATATACAGTATATATATATATATATTTTTACCCCTCAGAATATCGATCAACTATAGCTACTGTATCAATATGCTTCAAATTCCATATTTTTTGTCACGATTTCTTTCAACTTTAACTCGTTTCATACTATCTAATAGGATAAAAAAACCCTTCGGGTATCTTCAATAATTTTGTTTATCCATGCGTTATTCGTAGATATTTTTAATATTCTTCTATTGTACGCAAAAATCTCTTATTCGAAAAAAATATATAAAATAAGTCATAAAAAGAATTTATAATAACTGATATTGTAAATGTAAGGATTTTTTTTTAGTTTTTATTGATATTTTGGTTAATTTTATAACAATTGAAAACGTTGAATATTGTAGATAAGTTTTCTGTGGTTATCTCTATAATATATATTTCATATATTTATTTTTTTTATTTTTTTTTCATTGCTGTAGTCGTACTCAGGAGCTACAAAGTTACTGCTCGTGATGCTGAGTTTATTATACGTGGAAATACTGCAGTTTTGAAATGTGATATTTCTTCTTTTAGTAGAGATTATGTACTAGTCACGTCTTGGTATAGAGATGACGGTTTGTCTATCTCCATTAAAGATAATACAGGTAAGAATTATATCTGCCTTGAATAATTTATTTCTTTAATTATTTCACGTTAGAGAATTTTTTTAAATTTAAATTTATTATTATATTTGCTTTATAAAATTTATTTTCTGTGTGTTATCCCGTTTACAAAATTATAAATGTTTTATATAAAATTTGTGCATTTAATTCTTATGTTATAAAGAAAGGATTATTTCGTGTAATTTTAAGAGAAATAAATGTATATAATTATATTTTATGAGAAACTTGAGTAATTTTCTGTATTTAAAATTGTTACTTGCAAAATTAATGTTATGTTATTTGATATAAATATATTTTTTCGTCATTATTTCAAAGTAAATGATTCAGTTTATACATTACACAAAAACCGTATGCATTTTTATTATTTTTAATTCGTGCTTTAAAGTAAAAATATAAATAATGTTAATTTTTCATTTTTATTCGATATTAAAAATTAATCTACGTTAAATATTGTGAATAAATTTACATTAAAATATTTGTATAAATACTTTTACGATTAATTATATTATTCTTTATACAAAATATTTAAATTTTGTATAGTTTTATATGCATTTCTTTTTATATATCACAGTTAGGTTATTTGGATCAACCTAACTCAATAAATATTACTTAATGTTATAATTACTACATATATTTTTCTTTTTATTAAAGTTCGATAAAATATCAAGATTAAGCGTAATTCGTACATGAAATCTAGAATTTAATTCCTACAGTATCCAATAAATTTACATTCATGGTCTACCTGGTATAATCTCAGCACAGGCATTACTATATACAATGGATCATAATCCCTTTAGTGCATCTGATATGACAGACTTAATACGCCTGCAACAAAGAATAAATGCGAAAGCTAACAGGATATTACTAAAGGATAATATAAAACTAATATTAATTAAACTCAGTAAAATATATTATAGACTTTTATAATGAATAAATGCCTTTAATGGGTTTATCTCCAGTCATTTTAATCAAACAGATCATTTTTCAGCTTTAATATATGGATGTATGTCAAATCAATGGTAATATCTTTTTCTGTTTACGTGAATGTAATTTAATTCAACAGCATCAATTGCCTCAAACAACATCTCTTAAAATAGAACTATTCAACTTCTGCAATCGTTTACACAAGGGAATGCATAACGTGTAAGAAAAGTACTTGGCTTAGCTGCTTCAGCTATAAATCTTATTCTTTCCAAAACTATTTCAAGCAGTCAGCTTTCTTTACCCCAAATAAATACCAATTTTGATCACAATATACAAAAAAAAATCATGACCCAGATACACTTTTACTGGAATTTAAGGATAGAAAAAACGTATAAAAGAAGATAAATGATACCAAAACAAAGAATAGTGGAGGATATGGCTAACATCGGTAAATTACCTATTATTCATTTGGGTTTTGCTCATGGAACTTTTCTAACTTTTTCTTATCCCAGACATTTAATTAACAGATTTTCTTTGTTTCACTTATCGAAATATTACGTTGTTCATTACTTAACGATTTTAATGTGGCAGTGGCAATCATTAAACGTTATTAACAACACATCAGTGTTAAACGAAGCGTTATCTTCTAGGAAAGTATGCAGCTTTCCCTACGGGTGAACTTCACATTCGACAAGCCAGTGATCTGGATGCTGCAAGGAAATATAGGTGTCAAGTACACGATAAGTTGTCTCGTTCTACAAGAAATAGTGATCGGTGGGCAAACATTATTCTAACTAGTAAGTATCTATCTATATTTCCGCTACATTACACGATATTCTTCAAATTAATCATCAAATAAGCTGAACTTGTTACAATAATTTATTACTTAAATAAATTGATATGATTGATATTTTAAGTTGTGAAAAATTACTTTAAAATAGATTCAAACAGTTAATTATTTAAGATTTTTCGCTAGAAATAAAAATAATAAATACTAACAGTTGACAAAATCGATTTTTCTTATGAATAAAAACCATTTCCAGAAGCAATACTTGATGTGCTACACAATAATCCCTAAGGTTCTATTTAAGAATTTTGATAGTTTTACACTTTTTTACTGGAATAAGAGAGGATTTGAGCAGTAACATGCTACTGCACAAACCTTATCGTGTCACAAATGAAGCTAATCACACCTCTTTCTTCACGTTTAATCACCCGGATTGTTAATGAGACAACAAATGTAATATGCTTACAAAAGACCGTAAAATTTGCCAGTAAAATGTACAGTTTAGTACTCTATCGATCCAGTACTATTTATTTTAATTGGTTCTATTTTGTATTCATTATATCGCATCGCGCATCAAGAGATTAATCTTGTAGGCTGGCATGTAAAGGCTAACCGACTTCCTACATATTCTACAAACAATTTTAACTATATCTTTACCGAAAATTTGTTCTGTATTAATTAATTTATTCTCGCTAACCCTAAATTTATCCTCAAAAGTCAAATAATTAAGATAAACTCATGTTTCTAATCATAAACGTACATACAAAAATATCTTCACGTAGGCGAATTTGTTATACAGAATATAATTAAGTAAATATAATTCATATATTAAATTTAATTTTAAATTATTGTTTAGATTCACATAATGCCAAATAGTTAAACTTATTTTAAATTAATTTTATGTAAAATAAGTCGTTGTATTTGGGTTAATAAATTTTATTCAACAAAAGACGATAGGGTTTTCTAACGAAATGGAAAATAAATCAGATATTCTACAATCTTCAATTATATTCCACTGTAAAAATACAATTTGATGTTGGAAAGCTTGTCAGTGTTGACCTGTCAGAATCTGGTATTTCGAACGGGAGATATGGAGTATTTGATTTTGATCAAATAAGATATGGTATGTAGGTGCTGCATATATTGGTTGCAAACGTCGTTTTTGAAGTAATCTTCTGACAGGTTATTTTTTCCTTCTCTTGCCAGATCTTGTTTACCCGAAACCTCCGGCAGTTTGTTTCCTTTTCTCTACATTCTAATCATTATTTTAAAAATATCTTTTTTTGCCATAAATATATTGAAATGTTTTCAGTAATTGGAGTAAGGTTCCCGCTGGTATAAAAGAAATTACTTACTATACTAAACAAATATGCTTCTCGAAATGATTTTTATCATTTTCGCTTAGTTTTATACGTTTTAATATAAGTTATGTGATTTTATATGATATATTTTTTGTGTTAGCTCCACACGGTCAAGTTCCTCCTCGTATGACTCACTGGATAAGAGAAGCTGAAGCTCTTGAAGGAGAAGCTTTATGGTTACCTTGTTCGGCATCTGGATCTCCAGTTCCCACTTATCGCTGGTATAAAAAGAATGCAGCTACTATAATTCCCTTGTCTCATAATCATAGATACGTTATTACGCAAGGTACCTTAATCCTCCATCATGCTATTTTGAGTGATAGTGGACAATATGTCTGCACCGTTAACAACAGCGTGGGAGAGCAACAAGTACAGACCAATGTTATCATCAGAGGTAAGACTATATTGTTATACTTATCTTTGAGTGATCGCAATGTAGTAATATATTAATTGCATCACTATTAATTCCAGCTCCGTTGAAATGTAATATCGTCATCCCTGAACAGATAATTACGGTAGGCTCCTCTATTACATTATCATGCGATGTAGTGGGTTCTCCAGTTCATTTTTTACAATGGAGAAGGAACATGAAGATAATTAGAACCGATAATAGGATAAAGCAGCATAACAATAATGTTTTGCATATAACTGCTGTTCGTCCCGAAGATCAGGGAATGTATCAATGTTTCATCAATAACAATAAGGATTCTGCACAATGTAGTGCATCTTTGACAATAAGAGGCAAGTTTAAAGCTTAATAACTTAAGTTTGAATCTTTTTAAGAACTTAAATATTTTATTTTATTTATAAGTTATCTTCAAAATCTATTTAGGAAACGTTTAAATAATTTAAAGGTTGAAGATTAGATATAAAATTAAGCTTCGACAAATTTCTTTCGTTTTAGCTAAATTGCAGTATATTTAAGGGAAAAAAGGGTGTAAATATAAAATGAGTGTTATTAATAAAAATGTCCCTATATCTATATTATTAGAATTATTTATGAAAAATATGTAAAAAAATTATATAAATATTTAGGCTAAAATTTACTTAATACGTGTACAAATTATTTTAATTTTATAACACAAGAAAAGAACGAATCCGTGTTGTGTATATCTAGTAAAACACATTAAATCTTAAATCAACGAATCATTTTCTTTTAATTTTTAAAATGCTTTCGAGAATACTCAACTTCTCATCAAAAGATCTCAAAAACATTGTTACAGATTTGTGAACATTTTTAAAAATCCAGGAATTATTAAACTTGTTCTCTTTGGTTTTACTCTCTGTTCGCTTATATAAAGCCAGTTTTCCAAATACTTTATGTCTTTAAACTCTTGACCTTTTTAGAGTTATTTTCCGTTATTAATGCTTTTCATATTACAGATAATTTATCCGTATTCTACACGTTCATTAATTCATGATTCAAGCCTGCCGAATAAATATATACAAACAAAATAAAAGAACGAATGGACGTTGAAGAACAACATACAGAAAATTATATGTAAATTAAAGGATAATGAAACAAGTATAAATTAATGCGGTAGGCTTGAATCATGAAGTAATAAAGAGAAAGGATACGGACGAATTATCTAAAGAAATAATGCCCAAATGTTTTGATTAAATATAAATGATGACCAAATTGCGCATAAGTCGTAACTAGGCAGGCCACAAATATATCTATACAATAGATGTATATTATAGATATATAGCTATTGTACAGATCTATATATTATATAATATATAAAATTAAATTTAAACTAGGCAGGCCACAAATATATCTATACAATAGATGTATATTATAGATATATAGCTATTGTACAGATCTATATATTATATAATATATAAAATTAAATTTACATCTGTCTGTCTTCTCGTCTGTCAGTTTATTCAGGTGAAAACGGCTGAACCGATTTTTATGAAACTTTGGCTGAGGCTAATTTCGAATTTCGATTTAAAATTGTTTTTGGTTGGATCTGTATTAACTTTATTATAAGTACATATTCTTTTACCGTATATATTTTTTTATATGTGTATATTATCTTAATATATCATTTTCCCGAACGAAGCCAGGTACTGTATCTCAGCTATTAATAGTGTTCCATATAGTCTATAAAAACATTAGCCTATTTCTTTGGTTTATAAGTGATGTGTCAAATATGTTCGCGGGGCGAATTAAGGTATGCCGCTGGCTGAATTTGGCCCGGGACTGTAATTTGATCATTGATTTAAACTATGGAAAGTAATAATAACGGAAGAGAACTCTAAAAAAAGTCAAGTGTTTAGTGAACTTGGAAATCTGGCTTTATAGAAACGAATGGAGAGAAAAAAAACCAAAGAAAACAAGTTTGATATTTCTGGATTTTTAGAAATGTTCGAAATGTTTTATTTTTTTCGTTTCTATAAAAATGATTTTGATATCGCTGAAAACGAGAAATTGAATCTTCTCGTAGACGTTTCGAAAATTAAAAGAAACGGCTACTTGATTTAAGGTTTAATGTGTTTTACTATAAATGCTTTAAATTTAGCTTTAAAAAATTGGAAATAAAACTAGAACACGATCAATAAAATTTATAGTTTATATTTTCATATATTAATATATATAACCTTAATACCCTTCTAGTATAACTAATGTGTTTTTTTTTCTAAAAAACAAATTAAAATAAATATCTACCTGTTTGCTAAAAGCTTTCCGCTACTAACAAATTCTAGAACATTTTTACAGTAGAAGTATAGTTTCTACTCTAATATTGCTTTAAAAATATAAAACGTTCATACTTCTTTTAAAAAAAAGAAAAACTTTATTGCCATAGCTCTTTATGATCATTTAATTAGAAAGAAAATTCCTGAAAAAGTTAGTTCTTTTAAATAGCAAAAAATATAAATAAGCTTACTTTTAAATATATAACCTATATTTATATTTAATCAAAAATTGAATTACTCTATAAAAGTCGGTCTATAAACCTATTTTTAGTTTTATTTCTGTCTTAAAATTAATTTAGCTTTTATTGCCTTATATTCAATTTTTATTTAATTTTCTTAATATATATTTAATATTTTTTTCCTTTTCATACTTTCTTTTGTCAATGTACTGTACAGTACATCTTCATCTTCTCCCATCTCTTATATAAGAACACATTATTATATAAATGATAAAATTTCTAGGATGAACTGTAAGAAATTTAGATAAACTTTTAACAAATGACAAATTTGGAGGAAAAAAATTGAAGGAAAAAAACAAAAAAAAAATTGTTTAAATCAAACAAATCTAAGCTTATAACTTGCCTAAATTTAGCTTCTATTAAGTTCTTTTAATTAAAAGAGTTCGGGAGTTGATAAATTGTATGAATTAACGTGTAAATAGTAATTAATCTCAAGTTTAATCTCATTAATTTAAGGTTCTTTATAAATATTCTTTCCTTTCAAAAGTATAGAATTGTTATAACGAACTTTAAACTGTTTTCTATTAATTTCTATAAGCATAATTTTTAAAAATTATTATTGCATTGATTTAATCTGTTTTAGACATTTAATTAAATTTGCAAACAGTAATTTTTGATAAATGTTAATATTAGATTAAGAAAAAAATAAGTTAAAATATAAATAAAATTTGAAAATATATGTTTACTTTTCCTAGAAAATTCATGAATAAAGTGTTAATGAATGAAAACTAACGAAATTTTACTTCTAAAGGTCAATCTAACTTTATAATTCAAAGCATAAATTTAACCATTTCTATTATCTTGAGAGTCGGAATTCGTGATGAAGTAATTTATTTTAAATGAAATTTTGATGTCGGTTTATATAAGTTATTATTTCTGTTATATCAGTTAAGGTATAATTCCTAAGCGCAGAACGAAATTTAGTTAGAAAAAAATTTTTTAATAAATTAAAAACTAGTTTTATAAAACGCTCCTTATTATTTTTAGAAAATTAAAAAGTACATTTTATAGATTTATTAATTAATTTTTTTTTCAATTTTTAAACTACAAATTTATATTAACCAGCTTTTGCTGATAGAAATGAAAGAAAATTAAACTTTTCTAATATTAAAGCAAGTCAAATTTAATATATAAATTGGATTTATTAGACAAAATTTTAGTACTTTTATAACTAATTTTCAGAAAATATATTACATTCCGTTTTCTATGGCAACATATCATGAAAAAATTATAAAAATTACGTTATATTAATTTTGAGTTATATAAGAAAATCAAAGATATAAAAAAATAAATTAACTTTTGCTTAATATTTCTTAAAGTTAATGAATCAGTCAAACGTGTTCGAAATATTTATTTGTTATGTTTATATAGTTCTATATTTTTTTATTATTTATTTAAGTTACTGATATATTTCTTGTTTATAATAATAAAACGTAAATTATTAAACTAATAAATAAATTCTGGGTGATCATATGTCATTCCTTTGGAAGAAACAAGTGTTTTTTTTTATAGAGACATATCCAGAAAACGTTATAATAACTAGTTATATTTCTCTTCAGTTACATAAGGAAGGTTTGGGTTTAAAATAAAATTGACGTTTCTTTATCATTTTATAAAATAGTAAATGAATCGAGTGCATTTATAATATTTTACATTTTTTGTATGCAGTTTTATATTTCTTATTATTGGCTTTTTATTTTTCTTATTAATATAGCAGTATTGCTTTATTGATATTTTAAGTGATCGTATTACATTTTGTGTAAAGGAAATAATTATTCTATAATAAAATATCCAATAAAACTGTAAAAATTTCACTTTACTTATTTTTAGAACTATATAAGGTAACTTAAAAATATGATAAAATAAAATTATTAGTAAGTGAATGCTTTTAATTTACATAATTTAATAATTCTAAGTGAATATTCTGATATAATAATTTAAGTAAATATATTTCATTCCTTTTCGAAGAAGCAATGTTTTCCATTAAAACGTATCCAAAAAAAATTGTAAAAACTGTATTATACGATATTTTTACATATATAAGGGTGGTTAAAGGTGTAAAAAATAAAGTAATTCTTTCTTAAAATAGTAAATCAATCAAGTATATTTCTAATATTTTACTTGTTTTTATGCATACAGCTTTGTATTTTCTATCAATAATCTTTTAGTTTTCTTATTAATGTATTTATTTATTGATAATATTGAATGATCATATCACGTTTTATATGAACAAAAGAAGCATTCTACGACAATATATCCAATAAAATTATAAAAATTGCATTAAATCTATTCTCAGTTATATGAGGGAAATTAAATATATAAAAAAATTAATTAATGTTTAATTAATATTTCTTAAAATAATGAATAAGCTAAACTATTTATAATAATATTTTATCTATTTTAATTATTTTATGTACCGTATTTTATTTCAGAAAGAAAACGTCATATAATTATAAATTGATTCCGTTTTCACTCTTGTAAATTGGATTATGATAAGAATATTATAAAAATATAACAATCATACAATCATTTATTGCGAGCTATAATCTTAAATAAGTGTAATAAATAAATATAATTGGATTATAATATTTATAATAATCCGATTATAATTATTAATTATATCAAAAGATTTAAGATTAGTGCTTATTATAAATAATATATATTGCATTCGCATGAACTCATAAATCATTATCATCAATAATCATGTACGTATAAAGAAACTGTGTAGAGAACGGTATAAGCTGATTATTGATCATCAGAAATCACGAAAAGAAATTAGATGACAGGAAAAACTGAATACTTCTCTTGGTGATGCAGTCTAAATCATTAAAATCTTTTAATTGAATAAAGAAAGAAATGAAAATAAAATATTTTATTTTTTAAAATTTTTATTAAAACTTAAAGCAAATTAGAGATATTAATTCTTACATTGTTTACAGTCGTATAAAATAAGCTCATTATCATGTTTAACAGCAAGTTATTAATATATTTATAATAAAGTTACATTTTAAGTAATTTATACATTTTTAAATTATAAGTACAATATATAATTCAAGAAGATTTTTTTAAATTATATACTTATAATTTAATAAATCAGTGTAGATATTCATAACTCTCTGTAGAAAGAACTATTGGGTAAATCTCTATTTGGTAGGCCTATATATATATATATATAGGCCTACCAAATATACATATATATATATTTGGTAGGCCTGTATATGTATATATATATATGTGTATGTATGTACTGTCCTGATTCTTATGGTTCTTATTTTCGAGAAAAAATTTTACTTTAAAATTCAGCCACTAGGGAGAAATTTAGCGTTGCTGTTTCTTTAATTTGCATATTTGTAGACTTATAAAGAAGGATCTTTTAAGGCTGAAATTTCCTTAAACATCGAGCTGGCATTACTGTTTCTTTGATAGAAATGTTTAACAAGTAGGCTAATGCACGATCAAGCAAAGTACCATGACTATTTACCCGTGTGACTCCATTTATATCCGCAATTCGTTAGAAAACGTATTTAATATACATATTAAGGAGACAACAGTGCCAAATTTCTTCTTAACGGCTTAATTTTGAATTAAAATTCTTTTCCGAAAATCAAAACCGCATACCGCATACTCAGGATAAACATGTATACCAAATTTGGTTGAGATTTACCCAATAGTTCTTTCCACAGAGAGCTTTAAACGTCTACTCTTTAATTACGATCACCCTGTATATAATTTTAAAGATGACTCCCGGGTTGATTGAAATTATAATTATTCAAATTAAAGATATAACTAGTAATAGCCTTTCACGAGTCAAATTAGATGCGAATTACCTTAAAACTAAAGAATTAAAATAAACTTTCTAAGTTTTCAAAATAGTTCATACTTCATTTAGCTTATGGAACACTTAGTAATTAATTCTTTATGTGAGTAATTTAAAACATATATATTATTTAAAATAGTCTACTAATAACATATTTTAAATGCGAGAAAGTTATGATATATATTTAATATTTATAAATATATATCTAAATTATTTGCGTTTATTTACATATAATTGCGTGGAAATTATAAAACAATACTTAAGCTTAAGAGTGATGTACAGTACAAGCATAATATCAAATTTATATAACTAACATCTGCATTCAAAGTAAACTAGACTTTACACGGACTTACTAATAAATTGTCATTACTACCAAATATTAAGTTTAATCTCTACGTTGGCAAGTTCTTTCCACATTGGCTAATGATATTAAATCTAAATTAATACTGTCTCTAATTACAGAGCTACTTTCCTCGGATATATATCTTATAGTTCTACAAAAACAAGACATTTCTCATAATTTAATAATTCTAAGTGAATATTCTGATATAATAATTTAAGTAAATATATTTCATTCCTTTTCGAAGAAGCAATGTTTTCCATTAAAACGTATCCAAAAAAAATTGTANTTAAAGAATTAATAAAATGTTGACGAAAGTAGGCCTTACGGTTTCGGTAAATTTATTAGATTTATTATTCTTAAAAAATATAATTGGCTGTTATAAATTTATATAAGAGAAAATTTATTAAATTATAACAGGAGTTATAATATAATATTGGATACTTTTATTCCATAAAAAATAACGGCTTTATCTTAATATTATAAATGTAAATAATCCTTATTAGCAGATGGTAGCTTGTAATTATTCGATAGTATAATTCTGAAAGCAAATAAAATGGTATTCTGTATTTTATTCTATGACACATGTATGCTTTAAACGTCAAAAGTAATTTTATTTATAAGGTTATATATATATATCCTAAATACTTTTATAGAACAGTATAATACATATAAAATTTACACACATATAAGAAATATATAAAATATTCAAACACAACATTATACAATGCTTTCAAATTTTAATATTTCCACGTTAAAACACATTTAAAACTCATCAATAGTTGAATCAATTTCCTGATTAATTATTCATTAATTTTAGTGTGATATAGAGCGAAATATCGTGCACTAGTTTCATTACTAAAACTCAATAAAACAATATAAATGTATCATTAAAAGGGGAGCACAGAAATAATAGTCTGTGATTAATTTTTCCATCGATTTAGCGACTGAATGACCTTTTTAATATTCACAAAATTTATATATATATATATAAATTCCTTGTAGTAAAGATAAATGATTACAAAGAAGACTTTTTCTATAGCCAAGTATATGTTTCATTTGCTACGCTATCGAGCACGACTTACTTATTGTGACACATTATTGATCGACTATCATGAAAAATCTTTCTGTCACTCAAATTGAAGCAACCACTTAACCTATGTAACTAATGACTCAGAAATTCGACAATGCCAAATTTGGTTCTGTTAGCTTCGATCGTATGATTAGCTTTATATATATATATATATATATTATATGATTTAAGCTACATGGCTCTATATAGGAGGCAGTTCATTGAAATTAATGCAACCGATAAATTGACACTGATTAGATAAAGTAGATATATAGAAGATTAGATAAGTTCGTTTGCTGCAAAACATCTAACTGAGTTACAGTTGTGGTCGTGTTTTTATTGATATAATACAATTATCGTGATACGATTTATATTCTGATTTGCTCATTAAAATTCTGAAAAAATGTATATTTTTACTATACTTTTCTATGGAAAAAAATCGATATTTCTAAACATGTAATTTTATAACTTAATCATATTTAGTAAAATTGGTTTTATTCATAAAATAAAACAATTTATGAATTTAAAATTTTCACAGAATCAATTTATTTTCTATCCAAGATACGGACTTGAACAAACTAATAAGTAGGTAGCTGAAATCAATATCAACCCAGTGAATTCTTAACATGCTGATGCATTGAAACGTTATATTTATTTAATAAATGCCGTATAAAAATTTCATTTCACTCTTACATCCATGGTCTTAAGGCAAGATTGAATTTTCTGATTTGAAAACTTGGAAATTCTTAGTACCTTTTTTTTTAAAATTTATACTTGAATAGGTTCGACGTCGTAAAATAACGATGTAGTTCGGGCAATATACCCATTCACTACTTGTCTTTCGGCAAATATCATTAAGAAGACCCTTACTGTAATTAGGTCATTTGTGGAAGAATTTAACATTGTCGAGGTTCATACCCTCATCTAAGTATTCCTCATTGTTAACGTGTATGCTGCGGACGTCTCAATTTATTTCTTCAGTATGACAAGAAAAGAAGGCAGCACTCTTAATGTTAGGCTGACCCTAAAATGCTACTACCATTAATCACTATTTAATTGTATCTGACACAATGGATTTTCAATTACAGTTAAAAAGACATCTCTAAGCAAAGAAAATCCAGTTTCCCGTTTAGAAATTGCAATCATTAATGACTTTCTCTTCCAAGAAAAATTCTTTGTTATTTTTTTCCCCCTTTTTAACTCTTCTCTTAACCTACTTCGCGTTGACCTATAAAAATTAAAAATGTTTTTATAACATAAAACATTACGATATAATCATAACAAGAAATGTAAAGTATATGCATTTTTTGAAATTAAGACAAAAGTTTCGTACATATTATAAATCATTAAATCCATTAGATAACATTATCTGCATTTAGCGAATTGCGTCGAACTAATATTCATGCAAAGTGTTTTAGTTTACAAACTCCGGTAGCACGGATACAATAGAGGTAATCACGTAATCTCTCTCTGTTCGTAATCGTCTAATACATGGAATTAATGGCAAAGAGAAATGGAAATGGCACATCGCAAATGCCAAACGAGTCTCTACCTTCTAATGGATATAGGAAATTTTAAAGACTTTAAACCTAATAAAGATTACAATAAGGATTATTGGATGATAATGATTATACAGTCCCCATAGGTTTTAGTTTTAAAGTGGCAGTTTTCTCCGAGCTCGCCTTGTCACCAATATTAATTTGTCACCCAAGTTGTAGTGAAGTCGTTCTATTGATGTGTTAGGCATTTAGTTTAACGTGCCATTAACTTTCTACGGACGAAATATAATTAAAGCAAGAATATAGAAGAATAAATGACATGGAACAATATACCGAATAGGTTTCCTGATGAACGATGTTAATCTCGGTGTCTTTTCTTAAAATCAATAGACATTAAAGATATTTAAACTTTATCGACTCTGACGGAACGTTCCGCTATTAATTAAACATCAATTTAATTTTTAATTTAAGAAAATTTTTTTTATCTTCTCTCTTTTCCAGCCGATTCACCTCGTTTAGTGGATAAGTTTGAGAAGCAAATTCTTCATCCAGGAATGTCGACTTCTTTATATTGTAGAGCGACTGGACATCCTTTACCTGTCATCACGTGGACAGCTGATGATGAAGTTATCCCTACATCTGGCCGCATTCGACAAGGAGATTTTGTAACTACTGATGGAATTATTCATAGTTATCTGAACCTGAGTAAAGTGGAAGTCCAAGATGGAAGAACCTTCACGTGTAAGGCGCAAAGCGAGTTTGGCACTACGTCTCACAGCGCCAATATTAATGTTCTAGGTCCTCCTGTAGCTAGACCGACTACAAATAAAACTGTTTTGGCAGGAGAGACTATGTCTTTACGTTGTCCCGTTTCTGGTTATCCCATAGTATCATATGTTTGGGAAAAAGGTAAATAAATAGTAAAATCATCCATGAATAAATAATAGGAATATAAGATATTTTCAAGCATTTATATCCAAAAAATGATGACCGAAACAGGTTTAATATTTCAAAATCAGCCATGTGCAACGTATTTTTCTTTGTTGAAAAGGTCAAAGTTTTGAATATTTTAGAATTTTGCAAAATTTTAGGATCGATGGCTTAAAATAAAAATTATATAATAAAAAATTATGATAAAATGAAACAAAAATATTAATTAATCTAAAATCTTTTCGGATTTATAAATATTTTAAAGGCTAATTTTGAAAATGTGAAGATGTAAAAAGATATAAAAAATGAATAGAATTTATATCTAAAGATATAAATTTTTAATTCATTTTTAATGTAAAATTTTCAAATAAAAAATTTCTATAATAATAATGATTAGAATAATATTAATTTAAGGTATACATTGTTCAAATTGTGCTCACACTCGAGATTGAAAATATAAATTTTTGTTAGTTTCTAACGTAGGATTTTATTTTTATAATATTGTAGAATTTGAATAAAATTAAATATTTCTTAGCATAAAATTTTAAAAAAATGATATTCCAAAACATTAAATTTTATATTTAAAATCACTTTTGATCAATACTGATTCAAGATTTAACGTTGAAACCGTATAAATTTTTGGTTCGTTTCTCTTTGCAAATTTATTTGTTGCGAAGGATTGAGGCCAATCGCAACAACTTTATATCTAATGATATAAAAAACTAAATAATAAAAAAGTCTAGAATGTACTTTTCTTTGAAAAACTTTAGGAATTAATTTAAAAAGGCTTACTTCAGAACAATTCTTTATAATTCTTTTCAAAAAAGAAAAAGAAATTATAAAGAATTGTTTCGAAGTAATCCTTCGTTTAATATGATAGAAAGCTATAAATCACACAAAATTTCCTGAAAAATATTCAACAAAATAAATCTTTCATGTATTTCTTCAAGCAAAGATATTTTTTTAATAATCTCACTTTAATATATTTCACTTACTTCTTTAGTAATTAATGTTAGTATCTTTGTTGGAGTAACTAGTAATACTTTTAAAACATATAAAATCTTTATGAAATGCAGGCCTTGTGTGTTAATTATAAATAACGCTTCTCGGGATTAATTTAGCAAAAATATATCTAATAATCTGTAATTTTAATGTCTCTTTATATATTTTATTTCGTTAAGTTAATTTTTCTATATAAGTGTCACATTATTTTCTATTGTTTTTAATGCCAAAAAAACAATTTTAAGTTGGAATTGCAATTTTTAAAAAAAAAAATTCTACTTTCGAGTCTTCGTTTTAAATATTTACGGTAAAATATATACATTATGAGCTTATTTAAAAAATTAATTGATTCGAGAGAAATATTAAACGAAAAAATTTTATGTATATTTTTAATAATGAAAATTAGCATCATTTAAGAAGCTGAAGAACAAGAATATCATTTATTCTCTTGTTAAAATGTATAATTATTCGATATTAATGTTACTGTATAGTGATAGTTGTGAAAGAAAAAAAACACGCTAACAATTTGTTTCTACTGACATAAAAAAAAAACAAAATAAAATAAAATTCGGAGGTGATCATTTATCACTAAAAATCATCAATAGAACTTTGTCTCGCCCAGTGACAGAATATAAATGTATTCTCCAACTAATGTATCTTTACCTTCTGCAATCGATTTTTCTGTTTCTACTTGTAAATCTTTGTAGTTATGTGGATGTATTTTATTTTTGAATCTTTATAGACGGACGCAAACTGCCTACTAGTCACCGTCATGAGCTCAGATCAGACGGGCAGTTAATTATTCACGATGTCGATCGTAAAACGGACAGTGGTATGTGGTGGTGCACAGCTAGTGATGAAAATGGACAAAAAGCTCGAGGAAGAATCTTCATTCATGTGGTTGGTAAGTTTCGAAATTACTCCACTTTGCTGCATTCTTTTAATTAATGTTAGCAATACAAATAGTGGAAATGAAAACAAAAACAGAAGAGCTTTTAATTTTCATTTAAAGAGTAAAAAACATGTCAAATATTTGCTTTGAAAAGCCGTTGGTAAGATTTTGATACATTAGTAATTCTACCTCTCATACAAATGTCACGTATTAGCTATTAAGCGGGCAAACATTTTATGGATTTGATAATTTTTGGGATTTACATAGGCTAAATTCAAATGTAACTATATTCATTTTAATGATCGATAAGCGTAACGATGAACATTCGTCTTCATTTTTACTAATTCTCCAATGGTTACACCACTTATTATGTGGTAAAAGTCGTTTGCGCTACTTCAGAATATATTACTGAATAATCGCGTGACATTCTAAATAATTTCCTGTTTAGTAATTCAAGAGAAAAATTCCTAGACAATTATTACGCTGGGAGTACACGTTGAAGATCATATTACACAATTCTGTGGAAGATTCATTAAAAGCAATGTACTTTTTTCCCTCTTATCCTCCTTTTACTTAACAATGTTTTTGGATGAATTATGGCTATTCAAATTCTTCAACGATGAAAACAAATGCTAAGTATAAATCAGCTAGTTTTTCTTCGCATAATATAAATTTTAACCACTTGGGAGGTTTCGTGTACATGTCATCAACAGTTATTCACTTTCGTCAATAAAGGCGCTAAAAATAAGAATAGTTTTATATTGTTCGGAAAATTTAGTGCTGTTTTCTTTAGAAGAATATTTTCCAACTTGCACTAACCACAATTCATTTTTATAAAAGAAAATTTGAAAGCTTTATTCTATTAGAGAAGTCGTTAAAAAATATCCTACAGTTTGTTTTAATTGAACTTTAAATTGTTTCGATTTCTTTGTAACTTTTTTTTTGAGCTAAAAGAATAAAAAAATGGATAAAGGCCCACGGTGTTTGTTAGTATCGATCGTTATTTTCTTTTCCATTTATTTTTCTTATTTAATTCTTCTTTAATTTGTTTCAGTAGAATACTTTTATGATTATTCTAAAGAAATTTCTGTACTCAAATCCGAACAAAAGTACATTAATGATCAAAAACTCACCGATGAAAATATTTTAAGGATCTTGTTTGCGAAGATTTGTTAAAATGCACATTGTTCGCAGAAAAATATTCTACGTAAATAATATAATAAAAATAAATTTGGTGACTCGACTTATATAATCTTCTTAGCATAAAATTTTAAAAAAATGATATTCCAAAACATTAAATTTTATATTTAAAATCACTTTTGATCAATACTGATTCAAGATTTAACGTTGAAACCGTATAAATTTTTGGTTCGTTTCTCTTTGCAAATTTATTTGTTGCGAAGGATTGAGGCCAATCGCAACAACTTTATATCTAATGATATAAAAAACTAAATAATAAAAAAGTCTAGAATGTACTTTTCTTTGAAAAACTTTAGGAATTAATTTAAAAAGGCTTACTTCAGAACAATTCTTTATAATTCTTTTCAAAAAAGAAAAAGAAATTATAAAGAATTGTTTCGAAGTAATCCTTCGTTTAATATGATAGAAAGCTATAAATCACACAAAATTTCCTGAAAAATATTCAACAAAATAAATCTTTCATGTATTTCTTCAAGCAAAGATATTTTTTTAATAATCTCACTTTAATATATTTCACTNTTAAAAAATTATTCTAAAATAATGATTTTGAATAATTAATAAGCATAATAAGATTGTCTTATGACAATGTTACTTAAAGTGCGAAATATTTTCTTTCAGTGCGCGCTACACACACCCTTCTTTCATATAGTCTTGTAATTACTTTCACAGTTATTATATTATATTACTTGTACAGTATATATTAGGTAAATGATGTCCAAACTACGGCGAATGAAGGCTTATTTTTAATATATGTGGAATATACTAAGTATAGTATTTGCGACCCAACTTACGCGCAATTGAAAAAAACTTGGACACGACTGTATCACATGACAATTCATAGCATTAGCATAAATGTATTAAACATGTATACAGTACAAACTCCATTAACCGGAGTAATGGTGGAAATGTATAGTCGAAAACCACGAATAATAGAATTTTTATTTACAACACTATTTTCATGTATTTGACAACATAAATTCTATAGTGTTTAACGTTCTCACCTTTATCCATTCCACTGATTATTTTAAATTTTTTACCATAATTTAAAATAATATACAATTTCTATCGTATATTATTTTAAATAAATAAATCTTTCATGTATTTCTTCAAGCAAAGATATTTTTTTAATAATCTCACTTTAATATATTTCACTTACTTCTTTAGTAATTAATGTTAGTATCTTTGTTGGAGTAACTAGTAATACTTTTAAAACATATAAAATCTTTATGAAATGCAGGCCTTGTGTGTTAATTATAAATAACGCTTCTCGGGATTAATTTAGCAAAAATATATCTAATAATCTGTAATTTTAATGTCTCTTTATATATTTTATTTTCGAATTTCTAAACTTTAAATCTTTATAAATTTATGTAGTTTAGATTCTGCATAGCATCCATATAAATTACAATTGATATTTGAGTCTATAAATTTATAAAATCGATGGAATTTCATAAATAAAGTTTGAAAATATCTTTTGAGAAATTTGGCATTGTTATCACTACATCACACAGAACATAACATTACTTCAATACGAAGTAAAACAGAAGAAGTAAATTTTAAAAGAAGTTAAATCTGAAACAAAACAGTTATATCTTTCAAATGTATCTATGTTATTATTTTCTTAGTGATATATGTTGTTATATTTCAGCTAGTCCCGTCATTGATCCCTTTTCTTTCCCATCTCAATTGCAAGAGGGAGGGAGAACGAGTATCCACTGCTTTGTTTCTGCAGGAGATCCACCAATCACTATTCGATGGATGAAAGATGGAGAATCGTTACGTCCCGATATTCTTGGAATTTCTATGGAACTCTATAACCCTTACACTTCTAACCTTTTTTTCGAAAAAGTCAACGAGAAACACAATGGGAACTACACCTGTGTAGCATTCAATCCATACTCGCGTACCAACTACACTGCAGAAATGTTAGTACAGAGTAAGTGTAATTGTAATTATTACTTTTTATCTTTCAATTCAAAATCTTTTTGATGTAAATAATTTGTTATTAGGAAAAGTATGATGTACAGGCGCAAGACATTACTAATTTGAGATCGAGAGCATATATTTTAAATAAAATCATAAATTAAGAATATGATTAAAAATTTTGCTCGTTGTTATTAAAATAAATTTTAAAAAATTTTAGGTAATTTATTTCTCAT